GAGGTGGGTGTGTTTTCAGTAGTTCACATTTAGAGCAAAGCAATCAGTTTCCTTAAGTGTTTTCTTGAGTTCTTGACCAGGATTGCCACTAAAACCAGCATAAGAGCATAAGAGCTGAGATGCCTGGCCCAGCACATTAAAACCTAAAGGGAAGAAATTTAACAGCCTACATATTTTTTCTTTATAAAATAAGCTATGATAATAAATACATGACTGAGAACTACAGTTTTCCTCACTGGACTGAGCAGCGTGTAGTGAAAGGGAAGAGTGGAAGATTAGTGGGTGTGACAGGAATTAGACAAGGGGGAAGTTTGAGAGATGGGGCTTTCTGTTGTCATGGAGACAGAAAATAATTTCTTTAAAGGCATTAGCAGTGTAGGATCTTGGTTGGCATGGCAACAAGGCCCCTGTAGAATCATGCCTTTCATGTCAAAGTGTGACGGTAGCTGCTTTGTTTCATTTCATGTATACTGAGCATGTGCATTGAAATCCTCGACTAGCCCAGCGAGTGTCGTTTCCTCGTGTCCGAGTGCCTCACTCGTTCCTGTGGTGTCTTTCTGTATAAGCTCCTGACAGAGAGAAAAAGGGATCAGGAGAAGGATCAGGAGAAGGATCAGGAGAAGGATCAGGAGAGAGCAGAGAAACCAGTTAAACCAGCTGAAAAGAGCTTACCCCTGTCGGAGGAGCTGGCCTGCAACGGGAGCATTTTGTCCCTGGCTTGGTTGCAAGATCCTACGGGAAAAAAACCAGGTGAGGGAGTGATGCTATCTGGTAGGCAGCTGCTAAGTGCTGGACAGACTAAGCCAAGTCTCCTCATCTGGGCCAAGCTGGACCTAAGACCTCCTCTTTCCACTACAGTCTGATGGATGTCAGGCATCCAATCTTCACAGTGATTGCAGTCACCTGTTTGCGGGGGGGCTCTTTGGCTTTTGGTGGGCCTTCTTGGAGTGTGTGGGAGTCTCCCCGACCCTGCAAGGGAAAGCAGACCGACCAGGATGGACACAAACCTTCACGTTATGGTAACAAGTGGCCTTGAATACTGCCGATCAGCGTATCACCTCAGCTTCCTCCTGTCCAGAGACTTCTGTGTGGCTGTAGAGAGCGTCAACCTGTCCTTGGGGCTCCTGGCTTTCTCCTGAGGAGCACGTAGAAGATAGTGATGATGGCACTGTTTGTCATTCATACAGGGTTCCAAGCTTTACCTGGGATGGCCCCATGGCACCAACACTGATGATCATTTCACTTCCTCCACAATTTCACTTCTGTGGCCCTAGGCAACTGCTTATTTCGCCTGTAGTTCAGCGGTTCTCAGTCCTCAAGCGTTGTACTGCGTATCGCTAGCCCGGGAACAGATTGAAACCCAAAGTCTGATGACTAGCGAAAGTGCATCACCATCGCACTGTCGTAAAGTCAAAATATTGCAAGTCAAACCATTACAAAGCAAGGAGCATATGTATAGTGAACAATTGAATAGAACTGTGTGACCCAGTCACAGGCCACAGCAGATAAACAGTTGCTGAACTGCCAAATGACCAGAGCATGATTCACTGCAAACTCCTCCCCTGTTACAGTAAAATATTACTCAGCATGTGATTGGTTGAACCTAAGCCCCGCCCCCAGCATATGATAGGACGTCGCTTAGAGCATGCTCAGTTACCATCTCTCGAATCTTCCTCTCGGTGCGCAGCTCCCTGTCCATCTGCAGCAGTGCCAGCCGGTCCTCCAGCGGCATCTCAAAGAAGATGTCGTGAACATCGTACAGGGCGGCACGCAGCTGGGGGGAGGCACACACATACATGCATGGAACATTAACACACATACACTCATGTAGGGGATCACATGCGAGTGTGGATACAGGGGCGCATTTCCCAGCGAGTCACAGTGCCACCGCATGGTCACCTGGGCTCTGACTCGCTGCTGCAGGGTCACGTCCTGGGTGGACAGGGCTCCTTTCCTCAGCGGGGCCTCACCCTGGAATGACTGGATGAAGTCCCGTGTGTCCTGCAGACACGCACACACGGTCACCTGGCACCAACTCCAACCATGCATGAAAGGTACAACCGTGCCCAAAGGCAGAGCCAGCAACGTATTAGTGAGTATAGTGTGTGTGTATGTGCGTGTGTGCGTGAGTGAGTGCGTATGTTTGTATGTGTGTGTGTGTGAGTGCATATGTTTGTATGTGTGTGTGTGTGAGTGCGTGTATGTGTGTCTGTCTGTCTGTCTGTCTATCTGTGAGTGCATGTGTGTGTGTCTGTCTGTAAGTGTATGTAGGTGTGTGAGTGTGTGTGTGTCTGTATGTGCATGTGTGTGTGAGTGAGTGCGTATGTCTGTATGTGTGAGTGCGTGTGTGTGTGTGTCTGTCTGTCTGTAAGTGCATGTGTGTGTGTCTGTGCGTGTGTATGTGTGTCTGTGTGTGTTCATACCTGCACAGTCTGCCGCAGGTGCGTGACCTTCTCTGTCTTCAGCAGCCGGCGGGTCAGGAACCCACGAGCTATGGCACTCAGACGGCACAGCGCCCCCTGCATTTCAGGGCTCAGCATCTGCAGGGGAAGATTGAGGCATGTGGGGGATGACGTGGGGGGGGGCATTCCTCAGATATACTGAGCACATAGCAGAAGCTCTGAGAGACACTTTGAGGCAGCGGTCCCCCTTACAAACCCCTAACTAGAACTTAAATTTTTTTATAAATGTTACACTGTGTGCTACTTGATACACGAGCCAAGGCATCCAAGCATCATTTGTAAAAATACTGTTGAGACATTTATAATATGCTGTTTACGACATTACGTAGCATCTAAATGAGACCCTCCTCGGAATTTGACCAAAACAGATGCCACAGACACACACATGGACGGCAAGCGCGCACACGCACGTGAATCAGCCTCTCCCGGGTCTTGCTGCCCCCCCACAGGTACACAGCTGGGTGGATGTTAGGCGATGGGAGGCTTCCTAAGCAACACAGAGCACACAGAAATATTACTGATGTATTCAGAGGGCAGCCAATCTACCAGAGGCTCCTCCTACAAAAATACCTCTGTACACCACTAGAGGGAGCCAGAAGTTGCGTACCAGAAGTTTCAGAATCACTGGTTTAGCTGATACAAAATGTAACAGAAGCTTAATTGTGACGGTGCATGTATGATTGTTACCTATGCTGCCTACTGGGGACTTCTCTGCAGGAAAATTGGTGGGGTAGGAGGGGCTCAGGGGTGAAAAGCTGTCTCTTTGGCGCCCCCAGCTGGCCGCTGGCTCCCCAAGTGAATCGAGTTCAGCACCTTGTTCTATTAGCCTCCTTTCCTTCTCCTCCAGCTCCTGTACTCACTCACATGGACACGTAGTTGGGCCCCGACAGAAATCAGGAAACACAAATTCTGATTAAAACAAACCTTTTTAAATTTAAAGTTTGCTTTCTTGCTTTATTGCAGCACGATTTTTTGCATCCCGACCTGCAGGAGGCGATGTTGTGCCCTCTCCTGCTCGGCAATCAGCACAGACAGCTGCCAGTTGTGCTCCTCCTCCAGCTGCCAGCGCATTTCCTGCAGCGCCTGCACCTTGAGCTGCACGTCCCCTGAAGATCACAGACACACACACCTAGGTACGGGCCGAGCCTCCACACAGGCATTCGGACACCCAGACACTCAGACACAGACACATGCACACACACCATTAACCCCACCCTACCGTTTCTGTTCTCCGTGGCCCCGACACTGCTGTGGCAGCCTGGCAGACTCTCTGGCTCTGACCTAGGTGGGCTATCTTGGGCCACGTGGGGATGAATTCGCAATGGCAAGGAGCCTCGCACATCATAGGGAGGAGAGCGCGGGACCATCAGGCGTGGGAGCCTCTCCTGGCTCCGGTCGATGGGTGTCCCCTGGGGGCTGGGCTTCAGGTTGCTGTCCAGGGTGTGGCAGCGCCGGCGGAAGCCTGAGGTGGCGACCCCAGCGCCCAGGGGACTGACGCTGCAGGGTGGCCCAGAACCAAATGAATCTCCACGCTGGGTGCTGTCCAAAGAGGGCGCCAGAGAGTCGGTCCACCTGGGGCCGATGTCCGGCATGTTTATGGGGGAGGTAGCCAAGATGTTGCCGGTGGAGACGGGCCGGGGGCGCCGTCGGTGGGGGCGGGGGCTGAGGCCCGTCCCAGTGCTGGGGGGCAGAGTGTAAGCCCCAGATGGGTCGTGGAGGAGGCCACTGGACGCCGCCTCCGGGAGACATGTCTGGCGGGGGCTGTTAGCTGGGCTGGGGGGGCTTTGGCCTCCTCTCTGGTTCTCTTTGTCGGAGAGGCTCTCTCTCAGCGAGGGCATGGTCCCGGGCATCCCCCAGGACCCCTGGCAGCCCAGCTCCTGCTCCCTGGACCTCATCCGCAGACTCTGCAGGCTGATGTCGGGACTCCTGCTCTCCTCGCCTCCCCCTCCCTGATCCCCCAGGTCCTCCGGACCCTCTCCTTGTGCGGGGGAGGAAGGCGTTGGTCCAGCCTCTTCAGGCGACAGGTAGAAGCCATTCTCGGTGCAGCAGAGGGGTGGAGTTAAGGAGGCTGCTATCTGTCCCTGCGCTCCAGGCTCTGGGTGCTCCTGCAGAGGAGATCAGAGGGACCGAAACTCATACGGAGCTGTGTGAAAGCTAAACGTACCCATGTCAGCAGACTGTGTGCATGTAAGAGGTGCTGGTCTGGAAGAGCAGGAATCCTCATGCTCAGCAGAGACACAGCAAAATGCTTTGGGAAGGGAGGGCACATGTCATATGGTGCTTTGAGGGGTATTTAAAGGTGGGCATCTGCAGGAAGCAGCTTTAAAGACCTTTTTCAGGCGGTGCCTTTCGAAGTGTCCGCCGGGGGGGGCTTTAAAGGGTATTTTCATGGGGAGCTCTGAAGGAAACATACAGGTGTTCTGAAACTGGCCTGGAGCTGCCATGGGGGGAGGGGGGGGGGGGCACCCTTGACAGCACATTCTGATTTGTGTGGAGACGCCTTCACATGTGTGAAAGCTGCAGCCCAGTAACTTGCCTGCACACTCCCTTCCTTGTCCTGAACCCGTGCCTGCAGGGGGCTCCTGCGCTGACCCTGCCGCCCTGCATCCAGCTGCGCAGCCTTCAGTCTGTACTGCGCCATCTCCCTGCGCTGCTCCTCGCTCAGCTGGGAAGCACGTGTCGATACACACAGACACACACACACACAACAGACAGATACACACAGACACACAGACAGATACACACACACACAGATACACACAAACACACAGAGACACACACAGACAGACAGATACGACACATGCTTATTTCAGTTACATTGTGATGTTAAAATATTGTTTTATACATGTGATTCATATTTTATAGCATCCTGGTGGTATTTTTAAATGGGTTATCTGGAAGTACAGCCTAGTTAATGGCTCAGAGAGTTCAGTGATATCACTAGAGAGCAAACTTGTACCTATGTTAAGTGTTCCTGTGAATATACCTCACTGGCAAACCTTCATGCTACCACGTCCTCTTAATCTTTTACTCTTCTAATACTGATCTTTACCAAAAGAAGTCTGCTGCACATGTGATTATTTAGCCTGAGCACCAATGACTGAGTGATTCTGACTTTATAACCTCCCCCCACAGCACCTTCATCATAACCCACATCTGAGCCACATGCTTCATATAATTATATATGAGTTATTTTAATAACTTTTAATTGGTTTTTAAACATTTATCCAATTAAACACCGAGACCTGCTAAATGATATTCAATAAGCTTTGCTTTAAAAGTTGAAACTTAAACTTAGTTTAAAAGGTCAAACAAATGACAAAATAATTAGGAAATTACTGATTAGAATTTGTATACTAAGTAATTACGTGCATAAGCTCCTCATCCTGTAACAAAAGTTCAAAACAGACAGAACAATATATCGGTTATTTTTCCTAGGCTGGAAACGAAATCCAGTACAGATACACTTTTGCCTAAATATTCAGTGACAGAAAGCATATCGTGTGTGTGTGTTCAGTTAGACATGCAACCACAGCGCTCCATTCATCCGATAAACAAATGGGTCCACACCACTTACCACAGGGCAGAGCACGGCCCTCCCATGAAATCGAATGGCAGAGAACTCCCTCTGCTGGCCGCGGCTGGATTGGCGGATTTGCATCTTCCCATCCGCCTGGAGCCTGGCAAGACTTCGGGAGCAGAAGTCCTTGTAGCTCTCCATCATTCGTCAGCGCCCTCGCCTGACTACGGCACAGCCTGAAATAAATATGTCAGATGAGAAAAAACAAGTAGGCCTACCTTAGTGCTCTTCCTAGACGTGTACTAATGTGCTAAATATGTCATTTATACCTTGGGAGTCTACAATAACCTGAAGAGCAAGCCTGACAGTTAAGTTTAGGGGTCTTGTTAATTTCTATTTAAAAATCGAATTCGGCATATCCCTCTACTGATTTATCTGATGTATCTGAACCATGCAGTGATATTAGGTTTTGTTGTTCCAGTGATGAAATGGTTCTAGCCCAAAAAGTCAACATTACCGCAGTTATTGACACTGTAAAAGTAAAACGTAAAAAAGTATTAAATAAAGTAAAACACACAAATGTTCCGCAATTTAAAGAAGTCTTCCACCCCCCCTCCCAAAATAATAATAATAATAATAATACCGTTTACTAGTTAGGCATTGTGAATCAATCATTCAAAATAATGTGCACCCATTCATCACGACTGTCCCGTTCAATGTTAAGTGAGCATGAAAAACACAAGGTCGAATCGCAGTTGCGGGCGTTGCGCTGACAGCTGTAATCAAGAATATTAAAATTACGGGATTATGCACAGCCCAGGGTTGCTTTGTTCGTCTCTCTCCTCCTTTTTTTCCAGAAATCTCTACACGCGGTTTATGCGCCGAGGGGGGTTCATGCACATTCTACCAAAGCTCCTCCGTGTTCCATCCGCAGCGGAAGCATCAAACCTTCGATGCAACATCTGGAGCGAAACGTGTGTCCCTGAAAAATCCTTAGATGCTAAGAATAATGTAGCCATTGTAATTCATTTACCGTTAGCAAATAATACATTATTTCAGCCATCACAGCCAGAAAATCAATTATCCTGTCAGCTAAAAACCACATGCAACGTTAAGGGTTGTGGTCCTAGTTATAGATCTGTTCTTTCCTTTTATCATATTTCCATCTACCATAATTTAGTTTAAAACGCATCTAACGACAAAACGGTACTTGGTTGTAGTATGTTATCATACTGTACAAATTACCAGAAGCTATACCGCTCATTCGGCAGATAGCCTGTTAGCTGTACAGCATTTGGCTTAGCTGTTCAATCCGACAGCGACCTACGGAGACATACCAGAGTTTTCCCGTGCCGTCTAATTCAAATGCAATAGTCCAGAAATGACAACTATGTAAAAGAACAGAAAACATTCCAGGAAACCGGTTACAAGCTGCTTGCATGATATATGGTACTGCGTGTCGGAGTGTTCATTAAGGCAAAGACCTTGCCCGCCTTACCTTACTTTTGGACGGTATCCACTTTTCCCTCCGAGGTTAAAATCTCGCCTGTCTTTTATTATATTCAGGCCTCCGAACTGGCAGTTCGATGTTTCAATTCAGACCCGGTTTCTAAATGTACGGGCACCACCTCTTAGTGCACTGACCGGATTCTGTAGTGCCAACAGCGCCCCCTATAGCATCTCAAACCCAGCTCAGCGGACAATTTAGTAGGGAGTAAGTGGGGGGTCCTCCTGTTCCATTTATAAACCACTTCTTTTTAATTACTAGTCCCAAAGCGTATAGGTCAATGGCTGTTTAAAGGAACTGGCATGCGAACGTAGATGACTGTCATATTTGAAATCACACGAGAGAAGATGAGGTTACGTATTACACCCCTGGATGTTGATTTGACTTTTAAATTAAGGTTTTTAAAATTATTTAAACTACTAGAGGCATAAATACGTGATGAAGTACATATAGAACTACAAAATAAGTGTAGTGCACGTATTTATTGCATGTAAAATGAAAATATTTTAATTTTACACGTTTCATGTTAGGTTTGAAAGCAATCAGACAATGAGAAATCTCTTTGTTTTTGCTGCATATTTGATCACCGTTTTGGATTTGTTGTATATTCACACATCTCTGCAACTGCAGCTGGGGATGGATGGATGGATGCATGATGGATGGAGGGAGGGATGGATGCACATTCCATATCGTTCCGCTTCCCTCGCAGTCGTGCATGCGAGTCTTTACAGCTCGTCTTTCATAGCTTTTGCGGTTTTCACGCCGACAGGCCTTGCCGCGCGAACCTTAGCTTTATTCTCCCTCAGTAAAGCCTTGATGTCATCTGCCGTTAAATCCGCAGTGTTGTTCTGGTGATGAAATGTAAGAATGAAATGAATGATCAGTGACTCTTAGCTACATTACAAACATATCTGGTGACATTTTCAATGCCCATAACTTTGTATAATAAAGTTAGAACTTATGATTTAAAGTAAAGGCTAAAGGGTATGAATATATGTTTTACTGGGCTCTTGCTGGTTTAGAACATGTTGCGTAGCTTCTGTCCCAGTACTGCTTGCACCTGGATATTCACTGGAGCCTCAGCCTAGCGGTGCTTATGCCTGATCGACCCCTCGACAGTCGTATGCTTTATGTTTGCTATTAGCCTCACTATCATGTCACTTTGGACAAAAGCACCTGCGACATTAAGTTCATGTAAGTGTAATACCTGATTTTTCAGCCGGTTTGCTCCCACACAGGTGAAAGTTTTTTCATAGCACAGCAGAATATCCAGATGCTTCAATTCTGTGCTGAGAAATGCTTCACTGAAATGCTCACCATAGATTTCTGTAACACATATGAAGTGTGATTATTTATAAAGAGTAAAAGGTAAGTGTACACTTCATTATGCGCCCCTGTGTAGGACCAGAATCAGAAAAACTTTATTGATCCCGGAGGAAATTGCTCATGTTACTACTAAACAGTCACACAGAGACATAAGACTTTTTTTTTGCTAGAACCATTTCAAAGGATGCCTTTATGTACAACAGCGTCGCATGAGCTTTTATTTTTACACTTGTGGATTTCCTGCTACCTTTCCTGCTGTGTATGTCACCCTTATAAAACACATGTGGACTAAGTTATGCTAGCAAACAAAAACAAGCATCAATAATGCAAAAATTACCCAACAGATGTTTGCAGGCGGTTCTCATTTTATCATAATTGGGACCCTTTTCAAAGGGGACAGTCTTGCATGTCACAGCATCTACCATTTTTTTCACAGCTGCTTCTCTGGATTCATTTGGGACTTTGGTCAAAAGGGATTCTATTTCTGCGTGAGAGAGAAAGGATTGCAGAAGACAGGCTATGGGAATTGTCTAAAGCATGTTATTACTGCCAATCATCGCTGTGTTGAAAACCTTACCTTTTACAGTCGTCAAACAGCTTTCACAATATATGTCTGTCAAAGAAGGCGAAAGTTAATTAATGCCCGAAGCATGTTTTTTAATATTTTAATTTTATATGTATAAAGACAGGTGTGAGAAAAGGATTAGTACGCGAAAGCCGTTTTTCGTCAGTATTTAAAAAGTCTTGAATGAAGAAAACTCACTTCGTTCTGCACCAAGAAGCGGCTCAACCAACGCCTGAAAAGCGCATAGCATCGAAATAATATATATCACCTTCTCGAAATCCATTATCTTTGGAGACCTGTCGAATAATTCTTTGGCATCAAATAACTAGAAAAGTTATGGTTGTATATTCGTTGTCAAGAGTCTGAGTCATACTTTGATTTCCGCGTCCTTGGTAACGTCCAGGTAACAGAAACAACATAACAAAACAACAGAGATTACATTTCACTTTATTCTTCTGCTTTCCGCCAGTCGTATATGCTACTGTGGTAATGTGTTTTTTCGGGGCTGAAACATGATTATCAGTAGTTTTGGTTTCTGAGTAAATCTTTGATTAGTACGCTACATTCTTCAAAAGTCTAAGGTAATGAAAATACAATTTTGCATCAAGGATAAAGATCAAGCTTTTAATCATTTCCCGGTGACAAATAACTCCAAAATTACAAACAACGTTAGATTTATAAAAAGTTGTCCACGGCACTAATCAGAATTACCGCAGAATGTGCACATCATCACAATATTTGGAGAACAGAGTGCGGGAAAATAATTCTATCCTAAATATTCTAAAGCTATAAGACTATCAATATTTGTACATCGCTTCTGTAACGTAAGCCCCTACATTGTTCCTTTTCTGTTTTTTATTATTAATTTTTTTATGTTCTAACTTTGTATACTACATCGGTGTGACATGCCTGAAGTACTAAAAAAGCTTTTTTAATAAGAGTCCGGGATAAAGGCGCGATCCCGAGGAGCCGCGATACGCACTTCCGCTTTGGTGACGCCCACGTGCTCGTGGCTTGTCAAGGAAAAAAAAAACAAGGAGAAAAGGGCTTGGTCAGAGGGAAGGACAGGATGTACAGAATACCCGCTAAGCCAAACGGCACTGGGCTGCCCCGCTTTATTTGGAAAGGAACGTGATTTTTAAGCCGGTGCGTTTTATTGTACGTATGAGATTTGGTTTATCTACGTTTCCCAGAAACGTCGCTGTGGAAGAGGCTTAACTTATCAGAGTCTTGGCGGGTCTCGGGCCTCTCCGGAGGGGACACGTCCGTTTGCCTTCGCCTGGACTGGAAGGAGGCGCTGAGCGGTATGACACTCATGCTTATTTATGGTGCGCTGTTTACACTGGTGTTTGTTTTAGAAGACAGCGGTCTCTGGCATTAGCAAAGCCGAATCGCTAAGTATCCAGATGTTAGCTTCAACTACAGCAGCAGTACTGGTTCCACATTTATTATCGTATTTAACACTGCTAGCGGCCAGACACAATTATGAGCTTCCAAGCAGCTTAATAAAAACTAATTTCGATTAATGTTATTCGCCATTTTACTGTGTTTTCAACAGTCTGGTTGCTAAGCAACAGTTCGTTATTACTTCATCCGATCGGTACATTTTTAAACGTCAGTTTAAGCAACGGATGGGGGCCTGTTTTGAACTAGCGAGATTTGTCTTATCTCTGGTATTGCTTGGTGTATTAACTTATTTTGCGTATCTGGTTACTCTGGTATTTGTATTAACACTGTTTTCACTGATGTGGCAGTTATTACGTTAGCTGTCCAGTTATGCCATTTCTTTTCACCCCTAACCAGATTTGGTTGTTTTACATTTCGCGGGAGCCCGCCTCCCTTAAACCGCCATTGGCTGCTGAGCCGCTAATCCGCCAAAGCCTAATGTAGCGATTGGTTCCAGGTACTCATGACTCCGTGGTCCGTTCAGAATGTAGACATTAGGTGGCGCCAACGTATCAAATACTGTAAATCTCAGATAATCAGTAGTTTACGACTGGAAACATATTGTCTGTGTTATCAGATTCAGAAAATTGAGTCTGGAAGAAATTGCTTGTGATTACAGGCTGCACAGCACACACCTATATGATACGCCAAAGGCAGATAATGCACACTGCACATGCAATCATTTCTGTATGAAAATAAGTGTCTGACATATAGAGATGGTAATAAGTGGGTCAATATGACAATAAGTAGAGTAAATATTGGATGGCAGATACAGATACAGATAAATAGGTATCATTGCACATCTGCTCTGAGTGATCTTGTCATGTGGTTTCTCTGTGGATTTTGGAGTGTCAGTAGAGTCAAAATCAATGAACTTCCGGTCCCACCTTCCTCTGTTTAAAATATTTCTAACCCCATCATAGTTTAAGCTCTGTAGCATCAGTACCTTATTTTCATTTATTTGAGAACTAAAAATAATATAACATTTTCTTACCGTCAAAGTATAGAAGATATGCAGGTGTTATGCAGTTACAATACAAAATAATAATAATGTAATAATATATATCAGACCTTGATGTAGGTGATTGTACTTTTTTGCCAAAACAATAGAATGATATTTAGCCTATAATTATTACAGGGGTATTGATTCAGTGTGTGCCTCATATTAGACAGAAGTGGTTTTTAAAAAAATATTTCTAGCAATTTTTTCTATGCCTTAAAAGTTTCTTTTTTAAATTTCTACACACTTTTACACTGATGGTTAAGTGGGAAATAAGTGTAAGAGAAACAATCGTTTATCTAAGCTAGATTCACCGGCCAACCAAGGATAAATCACTGGTAATTAACAGCTAACCCAGAAACCAGTTCCCCAGTGCTGATTTTTGTTATTTCTGTGGTGCATTGACTCTGTGATGGATGGAATAGTATCATTTACAGAGCCTCATGGAGATATCTCCGCCTTTCCTATGGCTTAAATATAAAATGTTTCATAGATTTCTGCTATGACTTGTTTTGGCAATAAACCAAGGTATACTGTATAGGTAGTTGGAAACATTACAGGGGAATAAGCAACGTTGACTAATAAAATGTGTCGTATACAATTAAACAGTATTTTATTTAAAACAAAACCCAGACGGAGGTTGAGGCCGTCTGGTGACGGTGCCAGATCTCCGTGACTGCCCCCCCGCATAAAATCGCCTTTCTCGCTGCGCCGGTACTTCTTTCCATGTCATATTTGAATAAGCGCTCCTTTCCCAGGTTTGCTCTCGTTGGATCCGCGGAGCTGCGGCGCATTTCCTGCCCTCCAATAGATGCAAAGGGTTTCCCGTGACTGACAATAGCGGCTCAGGGGGAGGACCAGGTCGCTGCGATCCCTCTGGCTTTGTCGCGCCCTGGAAGCCATTTTGGGGTTTGCTGTAGTGCTCGGGATTATCGTGCTCGGGATTTTCACACACACACCCCCCCCGCTTTATTATTTTTTTTTCTTTTTGACTAAGCGCCGTTAGCGGCGGCCTAACCGAGGCTCCGCTCCGATCCGGGAATCGGGCGTCGGGATGCGGCTGGGAAGCTGCGCATCTTCGGCCGTGCTGCTCTTCTGGGATTAATCGGGAAAGATATAATGCGAACGGACGCGCAGTTCCTCTACGGGCAAGTGCACGCAGTCATATTTTCATGAAACGTACATTTATATTTCGTTAATATTAATTGATGCAGTTTGGAGATTTAAAAAAAAAAAAATTATAGCGCTCCTCTCTTCAGAACGAAGTGTTACACGGCGAGAAGAAACCGGGGCCTCGGTAATAGCGTCTGGACATGTTTACGGCTCCGAAACGCAGGCATGCGGCGAGACTTGAGCATCAGAGCGCTGTGACATACGGCTGCATTGTGCATCGGGACGCATGTATGCATTCAGTTATTAATGCTCCGATTACATGCAGTAAACATGTCACTCTAAATATAGCAGTCGCCATTCTTAGACCGGTGCTAAATCTTGCATTTGAAGCTATTAGCAGCCGTTTTAATGGGAAGAGTGCTATGCTGTGCTGTCACAGAAACCAGATATATGTAACCCGAAAGCTCTGAATCACGACTGCTCCTAAGCATGGATTACGATGGTTTCATATGTTCGCTGTACATACTTTGCTCTGCAAAGAGGAGCCGTTTAGTTATACAACCATCTGAACTGGAATTTATTTGGAAACTAACTTGGGCGCTGGGGCTAGTGGGCGATTGTTCGCTGACTGTGTCTGAAACTGGGATGCTTCCTAATTACAGTTCAGCCTGTTTGCAGTGATTAAGTGCATCAGACGGCGTTGCAGGATTAGAGACCCGTGCAGCGGGGGAAGACGCTGTCATGGCGCTGTTTCAGAACCATACGTGAAATACTAAAGGTTTAGCCAGAGGAGTGTTTAACATTCTGCTGCAGTAAAAGCTCAGTATTTTAAGGATGGATTGAACTGTGTAGATTGTTATGTAATCAGGAGAAACTTCCTGGGCTGATAGATGACACATCACAAGTACACGTACACATTTTTTTTGTAATGTGCATCCACCCCTTAATTTGGAGTGATTTATTTTGTTTCAAAGTGGGTCATGTTAATAGGTAATTTACCTACATGTTGTCTTCTAGTGCAGGACCAGTAGCCAGTACGACGAAGCGAACGAATATGAAGTCATTTAAACTGTGGTACCTTAAATCCGACAAGTTACCCCGATAAGCCGGTAAGCCCGCTTCATAGTACAGGCCACAGATTTTACTCTATCCATGCATCCTGTTTTTTGTTTCACTCAATCTTTATTTACTTGGCCATATTCCAGTTTTCACAGCCTCACCAGGAATGCTTGACATGCCAGGGCTGTAATGCCAAACAGGTTTCCAGCCGCGGCCACCCGGGCCTGTTCGGCAGGGCATGGTGGCTCTAGGTGTGGCTGCTTGGTGTTAAACAGGAACATTTATCTGGAAATCACCTGGCGAGGGGAGGATCGAGTTTTGGCACAATTTGAGTAAACATGCTGCTGAATTTCCACTGGACATAAGGAGATCGTAATTATCGCTGAATTTGTTTGTTTACATGCTAGTGGCTCACGTGTTTTCTCTGATGTAGCCCCCGACATGCAGAGCTCGTTCTCTCCGGCAAGATTTGCCGCTAATTCCTCCGTGCGGCGTGTCATGTGACGTCGCGCTCCGTCCCGCAAGGGAGGAGCTGCTATGTGACAGCTCCATTATCCTCTCAAAGCGCTGACCTACCTGTCTGTCGCCATTATCTGCTGCGGACACGTTGGGGGCTTGCCGGGCGAGGAGAACGGTCCCTGCTGGTTAGATTTGACGAAACTTCGAAGAAGGGGACAGAGGTCAAGGTCAGGGGTGAACTGCAAACAGAGGAGTGTTGTTCTGGGGTAGCAGAATGGGGAGCAGGCGGCAGGCTGAACAGCGAGAGTGCGTGTATGTCGAGAGAGAGAGAGAGAGAGAGAGAGGGTAGGAGACTAACTTAAAGATCTGTCCCAGTACCTGTGCTCAAGAGCCTCCCCTCCCCCCTCCATTCTGCCTTTCCGTTTCCTCGACTCTTGCAGTCGGACTGAAGAATGACCATGGATTTTTCACGCCTGCACGCCTACAGCCCTCCGCAGTGTAGCCCAGAGAACACAGGCTACACCTACTCCCTCAGGTGAGCAGTCCGCCTGTGCCCCAGGCACTGGTGCCTCGTGTTGTTGCCCGTGAATAAATGAGCAGGAGCTCAGAGGTAGAAGCCAGGTTTTGTTTTTGTTCCCTGTTCTTTCACTGTTTTGTCATTAGTGTTTTGAAGATGGAGTGTTTTTTTTTGGGGCGATGGCCTGTTGAATCCAGTCGAGTCCCTTGTCGTTGAGGCGACTTTCCAACTGAAACCAAGTTCCAGCCTTGAAGTTTGCCGGCCTGCCAGTGTTGGGTCTCCTCTCTGCGGTCCTGTCCTGAAGACGAGATTGTTAGCATTTTTGGACATGAAAAGGCAGGCCGGTTAGTCCGAGAGGATGTATCGTGTGGGAATGTGTTATTACAAGAGGACTGGGGCAGTTTGTTGGAATGCGAAGGTCGGGGCTGAAATCGTACCATTGTTATGTACTTGCAGAGTTAGAATTGCTTTACAGGCCTGTGCTGAGGCTTGGGGTGAAGCACATGCAAATCAAGGATGAGTTTTTGACTCCTGAATGTCAGAGTTTCTCTCCCCCCCATGTAAGTCTCAGGAAGCAGAGGGTATTTCGTAAGCCCCCCCTTGCCAGTATGTCCCCTGCCAGCGTGTTCTCAGGGCATTTACGATGGGCCTGATCTGCTGAGAATCCGCATGAAGGTCGGCCTCGTTATGGCGCCATGCAGGACCATCCAGGGGCAGCATCTCCTCTTGTCGCGTCTCTCCAGTTGTTTCCCAAGCGTTTGTGGCCGTCCGTCTGGCATGCCCGTGTTTATTTTTAAAACTTTTATCGACCTATCGGAGCAGTCCTTTCGTATGTCGGCCTGTCAGAATTAGGGTGTGGTAAACTTCAGCCAATGCCAGCAGACCTCTTGTGTTTGTGTGTCTGAGAATGCATGTGCCACAGGACAGGGCGTTGTCTGGGGGGGGGCGGGGGAAGACCCTCATCTTGTTTGTGACTGCGCCCTTTACTGAATGGGAGGGGGCGGTGCAGCAAGGTCAGGGCTCGGGTGACATTACCCCGCTGGGCCATCTGCTGTGAGGGCTCAGAGGAGACAACCCCAGAGGCTTAGGCTGGGACCAGCCTGCACAGAGCAGGGAATGCTGGGTAGTCTAAGGGCAGCTGGGAGTTCAGTCTTGAAGCACAGCTGTAAACAGAGTGTGAACACTTCACAGTCGTGTGTTTCGGGGTTGGGAGCATCAGATGCCTTCAGCCAGCAGGCCAGTCAGTCGACGGACATCGCGGTCTGATTCACAAGCTGCCTTTTCCCTCTTCATCTCTGTGTCGTGCTGCGGAAATCGACAGTCACTCCCAGCACCGCTTCTGCTTTGCTCTGTGTTTTCTAGGATTCCCCGAGGTCTTTTCTTCTAAAAATCACAAGACACCTGACATTCGCCATCACAGGAACATGATTACCCAGAATGCTTTGTAGAGCCAAACCATGTCATTCATGAAATATAATTGTATTATTTATTTGGCACAGTACATTTACATAATCTGGGCAGCATATGCTGGATAGAATAATAATAATAATAATAATAATAATAAATAAATGTAGACATTATTATAATCATTTTGTTTTGGGCCTTGTTTGTAACCTTGTAATCCACTATTGTGAACTTTGCGCTGGTGGCTGGGCTCTCTGATGACACACTGTCCTGGGCTGCGGGCCTGGTGTTTACACATCTGCAACGCCGCATGGTTCTGCAGAGATCGCATGCCTGAACACGGTGCCAGCCGACGCCAAGGTTAGGTCAGTTCTTTGGCCTGCAGTCTTACACGTCTGTGACCGTTTGCTGTTTCGGTCCTTGGGGTTCTCTCTGATTTCAGGTTAATGATTATTTTATCGTTATGTGTTTTTTACTACATGCAATGTTCTGTCATTTTACGGCCTTATTGTGCTTCATTGTTTCATCGTAGCTTTTAATAAATGTTTTCATGTACTGCTTGTCTCCGTCATTGGGTCAGTGTCGTGGAGCGATACGGAAAGGACCCATTGTGTGAGAGACTCGTAGAGGAAGGCAGGGCGCCGTTCTGACCCGGGTTTTATGGACTTTGGGGCTCTAGAGGGCAGGCTGCCGCTGGGCATGGCGGCCTTTGTGTTCTCATTACCCTTCCAGGAAATGACGGCAGTGAGGTTGAGCTGCTCTGGGCTGATTACTGACCCGAGAGGCAGGGAGGCCATAAGACCGGAGAGGAGCTGATGTGCAGCCCTGGCGGAAGAGCGCTATCGCTGGCTTGGCAAGGAGGAAGGAGCCAGGGGCTCTGCATGCACGCATGAGTGATGTCGTCTTGAGCGCCATGTCTTTCAGAGAATGCCTGTTGGAAATTCGGAGTGTACCGGTGTTCGCTGTGCCGCGTATCTTCCCGGATGCTGGGTTCGGAAGGCGCGGCTTGTCCGTAGAGTGCAGGGCTCCGCGCCCTGCCATCTCCTCCCTCATCCGCGGCCCGGCTCGGATTTCCCCGCTCGGGCTCTTTTGCACGCCGCAGGGTGATTCGCAGCCCGTGTCGTGTCCTGCTAACGTGCAGGTGAATCCCTGCTGTGCCCAGGGAGGGAGAGGCACGAGCGTGGTCAGGCGCCAGTGCAGTCTGAGTCACGGCAGTCATTAAAAAAACTAAATAATTGAATATCAGTGTGATATGTGAATAA